TCCTCTTTTATTTCTTTTACCTCCTTCAATCCTCTTTTATTTCTTTTACCTCCTTCAATCCTCTTTTATTTCTTTTACCTTCTTCAATCCTCTTTTATTTTGCTCGTCCAGTCTTTTACTTTGCTTGAATTTCCTTTCAGTGTCTGTCTTTAGTCTCTGTGTTGTTTTTTAATGTCCCTGTGCAGCGTCCATTATGACTCCATCACTCTTTATACCTGACAGCTACGAAGAACTTTTTTAAAATCTGATGCCTCCAGCAGTTTATATCTTTTCTCCTTTAGCGCATTTTCTTTTTCACCTAAAACGAGGTTAATCGACATTATTGATTGTATGTTAATTTGTCCCTCACATGTCTGAGCAGGTTGCAGTGACATCATAGTTGTAAATATGTGTAATGTACTTGCTTTGTAGGTAAGGTAAGGATTCAATGGGGTATTTCTCAGTTGTAAATTCAGGCTACACCAACAGAAATACTTATAACTGGTAGATTAAGCAGTGACACACGTGCCTGTGTTGGACAGTGCAGCCTCTGTGAAGCTCTGCTCTCAGGAAGTGATGGTTCAGCAGAACGCTCTCCGTGCTGTTAGTGTTGGAGTCTGTTTACAGGAAATACCTCCATGTTGTTTGGTATTTTCTTATCTGGGATGAATTACTGCCGTATCGGTTTTGACGTCTTTTCTTGTCGAGCTGAGCCGTCTGCGTGAACTGTGATGTGCTGCAGCGTGTTGGACTTTGGCTAAAAGGATTAACAGAGGTCAAGATTAGTGACATAGTTAGTGAACTATCGAGTGGTGGCTCGTTAATCTGTTGTGTGTCTTAGTGTTGTAACCCTGTGGAGGCACTCGGGAGCAAGACTCCATGTTTTAATAGAGGCAGGTAAAGAGGAAGATAGTCATATAATGGACATAAAACTTTATTAGGATTATCAGGTTGGTATGAATGTTTGCAGGCCTAATATCTCACATGACATCGGTTTCTGTCTCCAGATCTTTTTGTAAGGTGGTCCAGCACAACCTGATTCAAACAGTTCACACCGAACACACACCCAGCGCAGGTGAGTTCAGTATTTTATTTCATTTATTTTGCAAAGTAAATCCAGAAAATATCACATATCACCTTTTAATTGACAGGATACGTTTTAAAATAGCAGCGTAAGAGTTTTTTAAAATTCAGATACGACTCTGCTCTACCTGTTGCCGTGAGGAAGACGGCACTTACAGTTGTCAATTAGTTAATGGGATTTTAATAAAGGACTTACTTTATAGTATTTCCAACCTGAAAAACATTTATCTGAATATTTATTCCTTTTCACATTCCACCAGTTTCTTCTTCACAAAAAAAGCCAGAAAACCTCGTGTGTTTTTCTGAAGCAGGAGGATGGCGGTGAATGTCTACTCCACCTCTATGACAATAGAGAACCTGAGTCGTCATGACATGTTGGCCTGGGTCAACGACTCTCTACAGCTCAACTACACAAAGATCGAGCAGCTCTGTACAGGTGAATAATCGTTTTCACAGTTAGCCTGTAATTAAATATAAAGTGTATATTGAGCTGCAAAAGTAAATATGTCCGTGTGATTTTATTTTTTCCCCCTAGGTTCTGCATACTGTCATTTGATGGACATGTTGTTTCCAGGCTGCATAATGGTTAAGAAAGTTAAATTCAACGCTAAATTGGAACATGAATACATCCAAAATTTCAAAGTCTTACAGGCCGGGTTCAAGAGAATGAATGTGGACAAGGTGAGGACACACTCGTCTTTGGATTTTGACACATTAATCATGAGCTTGTCCCTCTGTCCCTGTGGGAGTAGTTTTTCTGTTTTCCCTCAGATCTATATCCAGGTCTGTCTCTTGTTGTCTCTGCTATTTAAATAACACTACACTGTGTGTGGTCGTAGCATTTCTGTGAAATATGTCTTCAACACATTGCCCCTGTCCTCCTTTCTCTCTTTCCCTCAGATTATACCGGTCGAGAAGTTGGTGAAGGGCAAGTTCCAGGACAACTTTGAGTTTCTTCAGTGGTTTAAGAAGTTTTTCGATGCCAACTATGACGGAAAAGAATACGACCCTATGCTGACACGGCAGGGCCAGGAGGGAACGCCGCCGCCACCACATAACCCAGGTACGCTACACGAGTAGGTGAGACGCAGTCCGCCTGTATGTGAACTCAGAGGGTTTCATTTCATTGCTCTCACCTCTTCATGCAACCACACCCCCAACTCTAACCCAGGTGAACCCATTCATCACAAACCTAAAAGACCCTCTCGCCCAGGTAACATCCCCTCCATCGAGCATATGTGTGTGTGTGTGAGATCCCCTCCATCGAGCATATGTTTGTGTGTGTGTGTGTGTAAGTGTGATCCTCTCCATGCTTGCGGAGTTTTTTTTTTACCAAAGATCATACTGTGAATTAGCATCTATTGTTTTTCTAACCCAGTTTAGATGAAACAACGTCCACTTGTGTTTGACAAAAGCACTGACAGGCACAGCTGCTTTCATCTAAAAAGACATGTGGAATGGTCTGTTCTGACATTTTGTGGGCTTTGATTGCGTCTCTGTAGTTCTGTGCACCTGCAAAGTTTTAAACAGGCGTGTGATACAATGCTTTTTACATTTTTATTACAGTTTTTACAATTCCACAGACTAGAGTCTAAATCTGGTGTCCTGTCTGAAACAGATTGGTGTTGATTGTTGTCATTGATTTGTTTCAGGCAAACGTGTATTTAAGAAAACAAAATTCATATTACATGTAACATCATTTATCAAGTCATGCACTGTATAAGGGAGAATAATGTGTTTTATGGTCAACAAAGTGTGATAAAATAAAACTGCAAACACACAATCATGTGACAAGTTTTGTAATAAATTCGCTAAAACCCCCACTCACAGTGTCAACCTCCTTTTAAAGTTATCAAGGTAGAGATACAGAAAGGCATTAGTGATACAGTACAGTGTGGATACTGTATGTAAACATGTTTGTGTGTTTCTGTCTCCCCAGGCCCCATGAGAACGTCTCCCACAGTACCCAAGACTGCCCCCGCCCCACAAAGGCAGATCAACTTAGCAGCCACCCGCAAGCCCACTCCTGTGACCCGTAATGGTGGAGATGCTGAGCTCCTGGAGCTCAACCAGCAGGTACCACTGCTCCGATCTGTCTAAAGTTACACAGCGACAGAGGCTACGTGTCCTCATTGAAAAAAGCAGTGTTGGGTTGAGAATAACAAATGAGTCCAGACAGGACCAACAACAGAATGAATTCAAAATGACTGGAAGGTTCATGTCATGATGAATCGGTGCAGAAAGTTGCAGACTGACTGTGTTACAATCTTTAAACAGTTTAATGGCCGATAAATAAATGTTATTGAAATTGTCATTTTAGATAAATTACATTTTAAAATTACACACTATCATGTCCAGGGTTGTTTTTTGTATTAGTATTGATTATTAACCTTCTACGAATGTGATCTTGATGGCTCTTCTCCGTGGCTGTCACACAGGTGCTGGATCTGAAGCTGACTGTCGACGGACTTGAGAAGGAGAGGGACTTTTACTTTGGAAAGCTCAGAGACATCGAGCTCATCTGTCAGGAACATGAAAACGAAAACAGCCCAGCCCTCAGCAAAATCATCAACATACTCTACGCTACAGAGGTAAACACGGTCAAATGATAAATATATAGTTCTACAGTGTTGTAGTCTAATTCTGACATGTGATAACTGAGGCCTGGATCAGATCATTATCATTGGTTGAGCACATCAATCATGTTTCCATGCACAGAGACCAGGTTACTCACAGAAATGAGATTACACCTATACAAACACCAAGATCAGCCACCCTGTCACTCACTGACCCACGTTTTCTTTTCCAGGATGGATTTGCGCCACCAGAAGATGACGAAATTGATGAAGGAGGACAGGGAGACCAAGAGGAGTTCTGAACTCTTCTTCTTCATCTTTATCGCAATCAGTTTGTTCCCCCCTCTTCCTTTAACCTCCCTGATCATTATCCTAATCTATCCTCCTCTTTTGCCCCTTTTATTTCACTTTTTCCGCCCCTTAAGTCTCCCATTTCATCTGTCCATGTCCATGACGACTTTTTTTGTACTGCCTGGCTTGGCTCCCTCGACTTATTCCAACTGGTTACCAGAGAGGACAGCAGCACTTCAGGGCTAGTTTAGCCTTGCTAGCCTGTCAAAGGTTTAAGATTAATAGCAATGAGATTGCAGGGATCTGAAAAACAACAGTGCTATCAGTCTGTCTAAAGAGTCCCTTAGTGTCACGGTGCACTGTGACAGGTGACCAAACATTGACACACACATGTGCATCAGGGTTCTCTGCAGAGTTTATTTATGAAACCATGCAGTGATTGGTTTGCAATATTTTGGCTGGAAATTTCACACAGTGAGATTATGAATGGTTTTAAGCCCCTTAGGAAAGAGGCCTGCACATGCATATATTAGATATATGTATACCATAACACATTTTAGCCTGGAAACATATCACTGACTTTGAATTGCTCACATGTACTTGCATAAAGAAAGTCTTCATTCCGAAGCAAAAAGCATCACAGAGCATGTTCGTATGTCGTCCCACCGGAGAGGGTTTGCTAATGAAACTGTTGTGAAAGCTTGTTTATTGTGATGTATTTATGTTTTTATTTATTTATCTTTTTTTAATCTGCTCCATACAGTTTCAAGAAAAAAAGAAAGAAAAAAAAAGGTGTTTCGGGATTTGGGGAAATTGACATTCTTGCACTAAATGTAGCGACACAAACTGACTGACACGATCTAAAATGCCAACGTGCAGTGACTGGCTGCTGCCAGGAACATACAGCAACATGCATTTTTATATTTTGTAGATTTGTTTTAATTTGCACTGAATTCCTCATTGGCCAAGTCAGAGGCGTCAGTGTTAAAGTTATTTATCAGACAAATGTCAAGCTTTGAGTTCTATGAATGAACAAATGGAAAAAAGAAACGACAGACTGACACTACTAAACTAAAACTAATGTTTGACTGTGATCTTTGAGTTAAACATTTTAGCTGCTATCATTACTCTTCTGTTGCCGTATCTTACTGGGTTTGAGCCGAGCGGTAAAAGCCACAGTGGCTGCCCAGGAGCTATGGGTGTGGTTTATTGTGACTGAGTGTGATTGACATCTGTCGGACCCGTCAGAGAAAACAAAACATCAAACCCTCTCTCACTGCTTGTCGTCATGGCAGCCGTGTGATCAACTTGCATCCTTTGGAGTTACTGCTGGAACGCAATAAACTTCTGAGTAACAGAGCTTTTTGTTGTGTTTGCGTTGTTTTATTTCATTAGTATCACTGTGAATCAGTATTAGACTGTGGCAAATTCATCATGAGACACATCGACAGTGTAACCACAAGGGTTTCTGTCATGTTACCAAAAAATCAGATGCACTCAAGGTACAGATGTGTTGATAAGGAAGCAAAAGGAGAGTTGACTCGTAGCTACATATTAACTCAGTGGGACGTCTGCTGTGGTCAGTGGTTAAACTTCCACTCACAGTGAAAGGAAGAGATGTTGAGAGAGATCCAGGAGGTTTGAGCCAAACACTAAGCGACTCATTTAAGAGTCACAGCAGCCAACGCTCACCGTCTGTTCACAGACAACAGCCAGAAACAAAACTGCAGCAGGTCCGCGGTGTAATTGGACCTGGCAGTTGTCAGTGATTGAACCCACAACAGGGACATTACAGGGACGGGATAATACATTTCTACAGCAGGATTTAAAAATTTTAACACTAGAATATATTTTCTGTTGTTGCCTTTTCCTGCCACTGTTTTGTGTTGTCACTCAGATATATTCCAAAAAATATACAAATATAGTGAGATATACAGTAAATAAAATAAATATAGCGTGTTATACAGCTACACACCAGCTGATTGATATTAGTTCTACATGTTAAAGAAAAATAGAGATTGATAATAATCGTTTTTGTTATTTTAAACTGAAAATCTTCGGGACATTTGAAAATACCACAAGAAATAAAAGCTGTAAGTTTCATCAAATGTTCAAACTTCATAGAAAAAAAAAATCCTTTGCAGATTAATCGATGATTAAAACAACCGAGCACAGATAGATTTTTCTTTCTCATCATGTTCAGACGCCATTTTTAAATGGATGTAGACACAGATGTGATATTTCTCCTGTCACCGACCAGTAACAGAAACAAATGGACAAACACAACGAGATCAATTAAAGAACATGTTAACGATTCGCGCTTAACGAACTTCGACCACGTGCTTAAATTAATGAAGAGGATGAGGGTTAGCGGTCCTCGCGCGTCACCGTGACGTCATGCCGGCAGAGAGACGTGGCACGCCGACGTTTAAATGAACCGGAGCCGTTAACGAAGCGTCGCCCTGTTTCTCACCGAGCAGCCCGAGCGACACGCAGCCACCGGCACCGGAGACATGGCGTCTAACAGCGGCTCAGCCGGCAGATGGGAGGTCGTGAAGAAGGGGAAGAAGAGCAGCAGCAGCAGCAGCTCCGGGAAGAGCCCGACCGAGAAGAAGAGCGGCGGCGGCAGCAGGAAAGCCCTGGGCGAGTCCAACCAGCCCTCCAGACGTAAGTGACCCGGGGGGGCCGCTGAGAGCTTCCCCGTGACCCGCTCACCCTCCACCACAGCCCGGGTGACAGTTCAGGAGGAAGCAGCAGCTGCCTGCGGAGCCTCGTTTTTAAAAACTCACCCTGATGATGTCGCGACAGACATTAGCCTCACCACTCGATTAGCTAGTTAGCTCGTTAGCTCCCCTCCACGGAGCATCGCCCCCCCCCGACCCCGTTAGACACTGACACGTCTGAACAGGCCATTATTTATTTTCTCCGTTCAAACGTCCATCTTACAACGGGCCGGTTGTCTCTCTGCGGCCCGGTGCTGCTGCCACATCCGCCCGGAAAGCGATGCTAGTCGGCTTGCGCGAGCGGTTAGCATGCTAGCAGTGTGTCAACAGAGGCGTCGTCATCACTGAGGAGCCTGAGGATGTTCCCTCACGTTGAGGTCCATGGAAACCTGAGTTAGCGTTAGCTGCTGTTTATTAGTTTAAACGGAAACTATGGATGTGCTCCTGCAGGGTTTCAGTGTTTGAGCTGGAGAAAAGTCGAAATGAGCAGAATTCAGTTTTCCATAAGATCTGATGTGAAATTCATTTAATGAGCTGATGTGTGAATTAGTGCAAAGTAAGAACCTTGAGTTCCTCGAAACTCTTTTTTTTTTACTATCTCATCCTCTGAGGTTTTGATTAGTTCTTCAGCTATCTGTTACTTACACTATTGTTTAAAAGTGATCATTTTACTCTTGATTCATTCTTTAGGCTTAAAAAATGTCCGAATATTGTGGAAAATCCGATCCCGGTATCTCAGAGTCCATGATTATATCTCTACGTGTCTAACCAGCGGCTCAAATCCCAAAGATATTCACTTTAATATCATGTAAAACAATGAAAAGTAGGAAATACGTCACAGACTGAAACAGTATTTTATTCTATTTTGAATATCAGCTGATAAGATTAGGAACTGAAACTGTCTTGGAGAGAGGACCCTCTTCCAAAGTCTGATTTTCATTGAATTCATTCAACCCCTCTTCACATGTATGACGACTACTTTAAATAACTGGAGAGAGGAAAGATTAGAGGCCCCCCTGCCACTGCTTTTTGTTTGTGCACCAGATTTATCAGCGAATCAGTCTGTTCAAAGTCTGTCGAGTCAGTGTCGAGGTGGCGTCCAGCTTTCATGCCAAACAAATACACTTCTCTTTTTTTCCCTCTTGTAACCCAGACAATACTTTCCTCTGGTTGTGTGCAACAGCTATTCCAAAAGAACAAAACACAGAGAAGATTAATTTTACCAATATATATATATATAATGTTAATTTAGTAAGTCAATACTTTAATTGATGAGGCTAAAGCAAATAAGATAAATAAAAGTGAAAAATACGGAAACTTTTCCGGAGGGGCTTCTTTATTCCTGTTCCCTCTAGACTTGGCTGTAGTGTATTTTAGACACCGGATCAGGAAGGTCATACGTAAGTCAGCTGATATGATGATACCCATCTTTGGCTTAACGTGTCTGAACAAGTTATTGGATTTTACAGGGGCTCCCCTTTCAATAAAGGTGATAACATCAGACCACAAGCTGATCAATGACTTAATTTGCCCTAAAAACCCTTGTTCTTTATAAAACTTCCTGCTCACTGCATAACAAACTATCTCTTCTATATGGAGAAGTGAATGAGTGAAGGAATGGCTGTGGTGTTTGTCAGCTGAGGGTCTTTGTGGTGTGGCGGGGCGTAATCTGAGGAGCTTCCCAGTGCCCAACACGACCCTCTTACAGGGTGAACTGGAATGAATTCTCACACCAGCAACAGATTAACTGTCAGGACACTTATAGAAACATATAGACATGTAGACATGGCGCAGACAGACTGCAGCAAGGTTAGTCCGACTCCAATGATCATATTTCTCCACTAGCACGATAAAAGATATATCTGGTATTTGTCTCGCATTATGTGAGACATGCGTGACTTGGGTCATAAAATATTACACTGGTGGTTACTGTAAGGATAACTGAAAAAGGATTAATGGGGAGATGGATATGAATCTGTTACACAGAGATCATGATTGTGCAACATGTTTGTGTTTACAGTTGAAGATGGAATATTGAAGAAACACATGTGAGGCCATGACAATTATTATTTTCAATCAACACTTCTTTAGAATGAACATCATGACCATAGTTAAAATGAGTATTTGTTGCAGGACTCTTGTTTTAGTTTTCGTTGGATGTGTTTTACGCACTCAGTTAACCGCAGTTCGCACTCTGCTGAACACTTGTGTTGATGGTTTACTCATCATGGCAACTTAATCTCGTTAGACGCTCATTGATGGAGATCAAAACAATGGTAAGAGGTTGCTGAGGTAAACAAACATGTACTAGTATGTCTTTAAAGGCAGAGTAGTACTACATTGATATAGATATTCATTCCAAGCTAAGATTATGCTTTGGAAACTCAACTAGTGTCCACTCCTCCGCTCACACAGACCACATATAGATTTGGGTTTCTCAGCAGCATGTTCAATGATCAGTGAGCAACTGGTGACCTCTGTCAACAACACAAGTTTGTGGGTGGTTCTGAAAACTTGTGCACACACAGTTAAATATTGTAGTTACGGTAAATATCTTTCCAGGATGAATCTAGGTTAAAGCTTTGTAAGAGTAACGTCCTGTGAAATTACTGTGTTGAGTGTTACTGTTTCAAGGTGGTGCTGTTTAAATTTTGATTTTTTTTTTTAGAGTTAAGTTAATATGCTCTCTATTTGTTTAATTATTTTTAATGAATATATATTTGTGACCACAACCAAACTCAGTAAAATATGGATAACAGAAGAGTAATGATAGCAGCTACGATGTTTAACCCAAAGATCACAGGAAGAAAGTAAGAAATTGATGAAACACACTCCTGGCTTTGGTCTTTTCATCAGATTTATTGACAATAAATACAATTTTCTTTCTCATCCTGAGAATAAAATAATAGAAGTTAATGCGAAAACCTGATTATCAGAAGTTTACTATTTAATATTGGTGTACAGGGCTGTAATACCCAGTGGTGGGAAACTTGGAACAGAAATATTTGAATCGGCCATTAAAAGCTTAAACTTGGTAGAAGACGCGCAGTTTGTCTCTGAACTGGAAGTGGTTTGTTTCTCAGAGGATCTTAATAAGTAACACACAGGGGGAAAAACTTGGGATACAGCTGCTGCTTAACTTCATCCCTCTGTGAAGCGCAATGAATGTTGCATGAATGTTGGATAATAACGGCTCATTATGCAAGCCGCAAGTGAGGGAGGGTGGAGTGAATAAGCAACACGCTGAATATGAGCAGATGGAGCGACCAGGGAGGGGAATGCCTCGGTTTTCATGGATTAACTTGTTTTCCAGGACACAGGGTCGACAGAAAAAAAAGTGTTGAAGACGATCAAAGGAGTTAACAAAGCTCACTCATATTTGCTGCATAGATCCGAGTCTAACCACAGCTCCATTGATTCCTTTAGCTCCTTTGAAGATGTCAGAGACTCTGTACGACAGCTTCGAGAAGATGGGCAAGAAACAGAACAAGGAGCAGGTTCCCCCGGCAGCCGAGCCTCAAAACAAGAAGCCGTCATCAAGTAAAGCGCCCAAGAAATCACACTCCAGCAATACAGTCGCCCCCACAATGCACAAGAACATGGAAGAAGCCTTCAAAGCCGTGAGTAACACACGCTCCCAGGATTTGTCACTGAGCATATGAAAACCTGTTGTTGAGGAATGCGACGTTGAGATTTGTTGAAATTCTAAAGGCCATAGGAAGGATTTAAACAGTCATGGTCACAGTTTGAATATGTTGCTGTTTTCTTTTGAATTTAAGATTAGAAATGACAACAGATCCTCCTCAATATTAGTGTAAGATTTTTCCTGATTTCTCTGTAAAAGTTTTGTCTTTGTGAAACCTGAAAGCTGCACATTTCCTCATTCAAACATAGAAACAATGCAGCATTGTGGCAACTTTAGAGCAAAATATCACATGAGACACAGATCCTTCGTCTTCACATAATGAACGTGTTGTTTCCGACCGTACAGATGAGATTTTTCTGCTCTTCTCCCTTTAGCTGGATGTTGGGGACCTGAAGCAGCAGTTGGATCACAGTCAGACTCTGTTCCCCGACAATCCTTCAGTCTGGCTCAAAGACCTGGCAGGGTACCTCAACCTCAATCTGACTGTGCCAGAGACCGAGCCCACACTCAGCATCTATGCTCACGGTCAGTTGTTTTCTGATCAAGGTCCAAATATGCAAATTAATACTGTGCTATTTTAATATCACCTTTTAGTTGCTTCGCCCATTTGTCAACAACCTGACATTAAAGAATCCACCTTTTTCCCCTCAGACTACCCATACTGCCTTACAGGGAAAGAGCTGAGGAGTGTGATTAAAGGCCTCATCGGACGTTGCAGTGACATTCTGCCAGGTTTCTTCGACCACTGTGTTTACAGCATGCTCAGGGAGCTGGACAGACAGTCAGGTAAACACAGGAAGTTACATAAAGAGGTGGAAGTGGTTTGGATGTTATCCCTCTTCATCTTTTGCTCTCACAACTGTCACTCTGTTTTATCTTTATTTCCAGAGTAGAATTCAGTACTTTTAGTGAACAGATGAGATTCAGATTTTCAGCCTTGAATCCCCTCTGCAATCCTGCAAGTTAGAATTGTGAATATATTTGCAGGTTCAAATCAAATCAAATCAGTGTTATGTCTTAAATTTGAGGTCTGAATATTCAGTGATTAGCAGGGAAGTTAAAAGTTATATAACAATTCACAATCAGCTTCTTTTTTTTTTCAGGAGAACCACTTCATGGCTACAGAGTTTGCATCCAGGCGATCCTACAAGACAAACCCAGAATAGCCACGCAAAATCTGCCAGAGGTAAGTGTGTGTGTGTGTGTTAACTCCTCGTCTACTTTAAACACACTTATTGAAAACTAAATAATAAAAATGTTTACCAGTTGCTATTTGAAGCTACAAACTGAGCAGCCGACCACTGGTGTATGAGGCAGTTCCAGTCTCCAGTGTACTACAGGATTTGTCTTTTGCAATAACTGTGCAGTTATATGTTGTAATACCCCCCCCCCTTTCCTCTCTGCAGTATTTGGAGTTACTGCGGTCGGTTCAGAATCGCCCAGTGAAGTGTTTGACTCTCATGTGGGCTCTGGGACAAGCAGGATTTTATGACCTCAGCCAGGGACTAAGAGGTAATTAACAGTCAAACACTGTCCCCAAAAAACATTACACACATTCTCACACAACTACAAAACCATCCTTTAGACAGTGTTTCATTGTTCTCACAACTTTACTGCCGCTCCAAGTCTGTCCTTTCTCCCACTTTCCCAACAATCTGTGAGCACAGGGTCTGGGTTAAGGGTTGATTGAGCAAGTCAAGTTTTGTAGTAACTGTTTGTGCGGCACATTTCAAGACAAATAAAAAATACATTGTATTATTATATTCAAAACAATTTGTATTTATGCTCTCATTTTTATTATCTAAATTGAAGAGCTATATATGAGTTATTTAAAAAACAGTTTATGGTTAAACTATATTTTAAATGATAATATAAGGGATTTAAAATGTATATCAGTCGATAAATATATATATATTGTTTTTGTTTTATTCCCTAATATCAGAATTGGCTCCTTGAAAATCCCTTTTGGTCTGTTTTCTTATTAAACACCAGGACTGGCTCTTTAAAGATATGAAAAAGCTCTGATCTCATCATCAGGAATTTAAAAAGTAATGAAGTGTTTTCTCTTTGAGCCTCAGACTGACTGGACTGAGAAAATCTACAAACTTGACCTTAAATGTCTCCTGGGTAATTTTGGGGGAAAAACAAAATCACATTTAAATTCTCAACAGTGGACACCAGGGGAATAAGATTACACATCGAGTTCATTTAACATGAGACTCAGAGTATTTGAAGGATTTTAAGCGACTTGCTGGTCGGCTGTCATGCTGCTCCAGTTCTCATTTTTGTGTCACCATGTTTCTTTAAATAAACCATGTGTTGCTGTTGCTCTGAGCTGTTCTCTTTTTAAATGGAGAGCTGAAAAGACCCAGTGTTGAGAGATTTAACACCAGAACTAACTGCTCCTCCTCCAGCACAAGGTGAATCAAGTGTTTCTCTGTGTTTCAGTGTGGCTCGGCATCATGCTCCCTGTGCTCGGTGTGAAATCCTTGTCCGCTTATGCCATTTCATATCTGGACCGACTTCTCCTGTAAGTCTGACGGAGTCATATGAGAACTGTGTGTTTTATTTTTTTTATTTAAATCACGTAAAATACAACAAAAACCTTCTTTTCCTTGGTCTTGACATGTTTTCTCCTGGGTTTCAATTGATCCATGATCTTGCTTTTCTTTTAATTAATTTTCACCTTTAACACGTGATGACTGTGGATTTATTTGGCTCCTACAGATATTTTATGAGGGAATTGTATTTTATTTTTATGTTAAGATTAATTGAAATGTACCTTGAATCTCAAATCCTTCTTCTTCTTCTTCCAGACTTCATTCAAACCTGACAAAGGGATTTGGCATCATGGGACCTAAAGAGTTCTTTCCTTTACTGGATTTCGCCTTCATGCCCAAGAATGCCCTGTCATCAAGGTGAATGTAAAATCTGCTACACAGTCTTGGGCCAATTTCCCTTTATTCCCTGTAGAATAAGCCCATGTGCACCGTTTGATTACGTGATGATCAATTTAGGAACAAGTGTCCATCAACTATCCATCAAAACAAACTGTGGCACTGATCATTTCATACAAGTTTGTTTGAACAGACTGACTCTGTTTGTTTTAATCTCCAAAAAACCCGAATAAACCCATTTTGTTTTTGTGTTCAGTCTGCAGGAGCAGCTGAGGCGTCTGTATCCTCGACTCAAAGTTCTCGCATTCGGAGCCAAACCAGAGAGCACGCTACACACGTACCTGCCGTCCTTTCTGTCCAGAGCCACGTCACACTGTCCTGATGACATGAAGAGAGAGGTAACACACACACACACACACACACACACACACACACACACATACTTACCGGCTTGTAAATATCTAAAACAGTCCTCCAGAAATAAAAGGACAGTTTTGAAGTCTGACAATCAGAGACCAGTTGTTTATTACTTCTATAATATGGACAGAAGACACTTTTATTTTTTGGATGTGGTCTTGATTTGTTTTCAATTTCATCATCTTATAAACTCAAAATTTAAGTGTTTTCTTGGAAGAACGTATTGTTCCGGACTCTGGCATTTAAAACATTGTATTCCTGTTCCTTGCAGCTGCTCAGCAGTATGACAGAGTGTTTGTGCGTGGACGTACAAAGTCTTGGAGTGTGGAGGCAGCTCTATACCAAACACTTACCCCAGTCCAGGTGAGTTCTACAAACTTTACAAAATGCTCTCATACATACACTGATTTTTAAAGTGTGAAGCAAACACTGAAATTTGAATATTCCCACTTCTCCAGTCAATAAATGGGGCCACACAAATGGACACATGAGGATGTAGTTAAGTTTTTTTGAAGCTGGTGGTTCATTTTCCTCTTTTCTTTCTCCAGTCTGCTGCTGAATCATTTATTGAAGTCCTGGAAAGTCCTGCCACCAAAAGTATGACTCCTATGACACAGATGTTTTTTAAGTAATCTCAGAGTTAAAAGAAGAGAGTACAGAGAGAAACTGCTGCATGAATCAAGTCTAATGCTTAATAATAAAAACAAAACGACTTCTTGATGACTACTAAAACAGACATGGGTCTGAAATATCTTTTAACGTGTCTGTTATATCGCCTTGTTTTCTTTAGCTACGGATGAACCTTGAAGAAACAATCCAGTCGTTCAGAGTGACCAATGAGGAGATGAAAGACACCGTTGAATCTCAGGAGCTTCAAGAGTGCAATAACCTGTGTCAGGTGAGACAGCGCTGAAGCAGAATTTAAACACTGAGCATTTTTGATCTCAGCATTTTTCATGTTGTAGTAACGATACTTTATTCTCCATTGTACTTCTTGTCGCGTGAAGAATTTACTCCTGTAAATATAATACAGAGAATTTGAGTAAAATAGAAAATGTTTTGCTTTTGTCACCAGAATCTGCAGGTGAAGATGCGTGGTCGAGGGTTCCCCTGGTTTAAACTGCTCATGGTTCTGTTCATGTTCATTGCCGTCTTCATCGCACACGACGTCAGATCTCACGGCTCCTTCACAGGTCCGTCTTTACGGCAGGACTTCCATGTCTGTGTCTGTTTTTTTGTTTGTTTGTTCTTGATGTCATGTGATGGTTCTTGTGTGTTTCAGATTCCACCACAGCGAGCTATCTGCAAAATTCAGGGGTCACGGCCGTATCTCAGCAGGCCTGGAGCAAAATAACAGTCTATTCAAAACAGGGCTTCAGGTACAACCTGAACAACCACATCCTTCTTTAGACTCTTTGTTTGTCTCATAACTGTTCATGGAAATAAACCATTTAACTAGTTTTTTTGCTTTTTTTTCCGTAGCTGGATAGAGACAAACACCCCTTATTATTACTCTGAGAGTGTGCGGGTCCTGGGGCCACTAATGGAACAGGCCTTGGAGAAGTCAAAAGCAGCAGCCATCTTCATCTCTGAAAACACCACACAGTTTATCCTCTGGGTCAGAGAGAAGACACCGCAGGTCATAGAATGGGTAAGAGTAACTATAAACAAGCATACAACACTCCCTTGCTAATGTTAAACGTATAATGACTTCATCAACTCTCTTCTCTTCTTTGCTCAGGTCAACACCAACACTCCTGACAGTGTGTTCAAGTTGTTAGCGTATCTGAGGGAGCTGCTTCTCCTCCTCCATCAGAACTACATCCTGCCAGCTCTGGCTTTTATCAATGAGCTGCTACAACGAGCCTGGACCAACCTACAGGAGTCCTGCAAGTCAGTGCACTGACGCTTTAACGTTTATTTGAAATTCACCGGTGACCTGTTTGACAGCGTGTTACATTTTCACAATATATTACAAACAATGATGGGAATTTAAGTTAACTGCATTATGATAAGTAATGTTAAGTAATGTGAGTCTGGTAGACTTACCTGCCTTTGTGTTTATGTCTTCCAGCGGTGAGGTGTCTGTGTCGTGTCTGCAGGGCCACGCCGTGTCCTTCACCAATTCAACGTGGCAGCTGGTCCAACACACGACTTCAGCCATCAAGACGTGGGCTCTGGAGCTGCTGACGAGAGATTAACACGACAACAGATGCTGACTAACTTACACAAATGATACAAACACAAGAAGGCTGCCTTTCAGTGCACGGGCTCCTCTTTAAAGCCATCACTGGACACTGTGGGGTCAGACAAACAAGCGCTCACTCAGCAGGAACCTTCTGTCTCTTGTTTTGGCTAAATTCATCAAATCAGTTTGCTGTTGTATAGATGGTTTTTTTCTACTGACCCTTTTTGTCACTGCTGGACGCTGAAGTCATCTCTCTCTCTCTCTCGCTCTCTCTCTCTCTCTCCCTGCATTTTCTACTGCAAATTTCAACCGTTGCTTTAACAAATTATGTAATTTATAGAAGATGTAGGTTTGTAGATGATTTTTATGCTGTTTTTATTTAAAGATATATAAAAAAAAAAAGAGAAACTTGCTAGAGGGCAGGGAAAAGACCAAAAAAAAAAAAAAAGATATTCCAGACTCAGACCTCACAGTTAAACTCTGATGACCACTTCATCTCCTCCACTTTGTCCTTCTCACTGTGAAGTCAGATCACTTGTTGTATGATTGTTTGTGTCGGGCTCAATAAGCCTTCATCGAGTGAGGAACTGTCCTGTCGCAGTGAGGAGATGGGAGGGGAGGGGTCACATCTGCCGGTGGATGAACTCCCTCACAACATCCTGGATCCAAACAGGAAGGAGTCTCATCTGTGTGAAAAATAAAGTTACTCGCTGGCTTTTTGTCTTTGCTGCCTTTTCTGTCCCGTTTCTCTTTCTTTCTTTTTTTTCTGTTCATCAGCAGCTCGACACCTGAGCTGAAATCAGCTGTGTACTCTACTTGAAGGCTGATGATATTCCATCTGTGTGTGTGTGTGTGTGAGTCGGAGTGCATGAGTCAATGCACTTATTTCTACTTTGATTAACCCCGTGCCAACTTCCTCCCTGATGCTCATAATACAACTTCAGAATAAGAGCCCCCCCCCCCCCTTCAGAAGAAACGATTCACTAACATTAACAAGATGTTTGAACGGTTCACGGTAACGTTTCATGTCTTACTTTGTAATGTAAATGATTTATAATAAAGATTTCAACCCCAGACACGGTTTGTGTGTCTAATGACAGAACCGAGCTTCAGGAAACAAACAAACAACAACAACAACACTACTGAGCTACAGTCAAACACTCCTGGTGATGGGTTGTGTTATGAAGGGGGCGGGGTCGTTTTGGCGGCTCAGAATATTCAAACTAACGCCGCTTGGGCGCCACCTGGTGGAAGACCGTGGACAGTACACCACCGGTTATACAAAAGTTTTTCTATATGTATGTTCGTATTGAATTTTTCTGAAATATTGGTTGGAATGTACTTCCGGCCCCTTCGATAGCTCAGTTGGTAGAGCGGAGGACTGTAGGTTGATGACGTCAGAGATCCTTAGGTCGCTGGTTCGAATCCGGCTCGAAGGAGGTGGCATTAGTTTTTACCACGTCATAAAAACGTCACAACAACACGTCCGTGATGTTTCCCGCGCCAGGGCGCTGTTGCATCGGTGGAGGCGCGCGTTCGACACATTTAACCTAAGTTACAAACAAACAGAGCGATATATATTTATATATATATATATATATATATATATATATATATAGAGAGAGAGAGAGAGAGAGAGCTGCGACAAATGAAAATACAAACACATTCATAAGTTACATGTTTGTGTTGAACTTTTCTAAACAAGGCTACAGAGTGCTAGCCCTGCTTCACGAAACAGGAAACACGTGACAACGAAGACGCCTGCTGCAGGTGAGTCACGTCAACAGGTGATGAGTGTCGTCATATTCAGGTTATAGATGGGGGGGGGGGTCAGGTTAGACAACTAGAACTGTAACATGTTTCTTCTTCTGCTGACTTTGATGTTTCTGTGACGTTGTCTCATGTCTTTGAAGTGTCTTGTGGTCCAACCCTCTCGTGTGTTGGGCTGACATTCGTCCCCTTCGATAGCTCAGTTGGTAGAGCGGAGGACTGTAGAGGTAATGAAATCAGAGATCCTTAGGTCGCTGGTTCAAATCCGGCTCGAAGGAGGTGGCTTTTGTCTTTGTATTTCTAAATGAGAAAAAGACGGTCAATACCACAGACTGTATATAAAGAGGTCAATACTTATACGTCTTTCCTGGCACTACTCCAGCTGTAGTACAACAGCGCTTCGCTCATAATTCACACGTAATTATCGCGTAAGAGAGTAAAACACGACTCACCTTCAACACGGCGGAAATCTAGGGGAGCGGGAGAACAGGCACCGAAAACTAAGCCCACAGAGGAACGTGATTGGTCAAAAGTAAGCCCCAGACGGGCGTCTATCCCGTCTATTCCGCCAAAGTAAACCCAAAGTAAGCCCATAGTAGCCAATCACGTTCCTCCCCTGGGGCTTACTTTTGGACCGCCTTCCTCATTAGCATACGGACACAGAAGTACAGAAATGTATGGAGGACGAGAAATGACTTAAGTATAAATAAATAAATGTAGAAATAAATGTGGAAATAAATGCATAAATAAATGTGGGAATAGACTTAAGTATAAATACATAAATAAATACATGTATAAGTAAAGGTAACGTTTATTTTTTTAATTTCCACATTTATTTATTTCTGTATTTCTGTCTCATATGAACATGACTAGGGGCGGTCCTGACCTCAGTCTTCTGCCTGTCAGTGCTGACTGTTGTGCAGTAGCTGCTGTTTGCAGTGTTGAGTCAGTTCACGCTTAAAAACGACGAGTTCATAGTTCATCTTTTGTATATCCGGTGGTGTACTGTCCACTGTCTTCCACCAGGTGGCGCGAGTTATTAATCCGTGGTGTCTGATCATGTCTGCGTGTCGTCATTTTATCACTGAGTCCTGGCTGTGAGCGTCTCGTCTCATGCTGAACTGAGCACGACATGTTGACGAGTCATGTTTCATGATGTTTAAATGATACGAACCACGATTGAGAACTGTTCACTGCGCGTGGGTATAAATTGCGAAGTCACTTCTTCATGTGTAGGACGGGGGATTAGCTCAGATGGTAGAGCGCTCGCTTAGCATGCGAGAGGTAGCGGGATCGATGCCCGCATCCTCCAAGTTTTTTTTTTTTCTTTCGCTTTGAATATTATTTTATTTTCTACATACCGCTTTTTAAAGAGTGGTGATATAGAAAACATATCATGTGTAAAACAGACCTCGGGATTCAGAGATTCACTCTTCACGTGTTTCTTCTGCTGATAACTGACGTGCAGATTATGAAACTGACACCAACAGTAGTAATATATAGAAGAATTAATGGAAGTGATATTGCACATGATATCGAAATATGTTATATAATATCACCTTAAGAATCCTTTAGAGGATTCTCTCAGCGCTGACGTCATATATCGAGAGTCCTCACGGGGGATTAGCTCAGATGGTAGAGCGCTCGCTTAGCATGCGAGAGGTAGCGGGATCGATGCCCGCATCCTCCAGAGTCCTTTTTTATTTTTTTCTCCTGTTGATTCATGATTTCTGGACTTTTCAAGACTTCGGTGACCCTGGATAAAAGTCTCCTCTCTCCTGATTTCGAAGCTTTACATCTGTAATTCATGTTTTTTGTTTGGAAACGAAGCAATCTCAAACTCTTAATATAAGTTTATGACACCTCTATGAATAATACACATTTTCTTCATGACTTCATGCAGAATAGTTTTGAGTATTCACAACCTGTTCAGCTCAGATACAAGAACAAATTATGTTTTTCTGTTACAGTCTTTTGTAAATCTGAATTTTTAATGTGGATCAAAGCCCTGTCTGCAAGTGTGTCATGACGTCACACAACTTTTGTTCTCACGGGGGATTAGCTCAAATGGTAAAACACGACTCACCTTAGCGAGGACGCAAAAAACTATTTTTCTGAATGAAAATGAGAAAAAGACGGTCAATACTTATACGTCTTTCCTGGCACTGCTCCAGCTGTAGTACAACAGCGCTTCGCTCATAATTCACACGTAATTATCGCGTAAGAGAGTCAAACACGACTTACCTTCAACACGGCGGAACTCGAGGGGAGCGGGAGAACAGGCACCGAAAACTAAGCCCACAGAGGAACGTGATTGGTCAAAAGTAAGCTCCAGGGGAGGAACGTGATTGGTCAAAAGTACGTGATTGGTCAAAAGTAAGCCCCAGGGGAGGAACGTGATTGGCTAC